TTGCTGGAACGCTGAAGGAGAGCAGGGCTGTGGGATGTTCACGAGATTCACCCATCTGCACGTGTGCCAAGGGGGGACCCCACCTCTTACTTGTAGGTTCCCCACTTGCCTGACTTGGAGTTTTCACCCTTCACAGTCCTCGTTCAGGTTGCGATCGGGACTGCGTATCTGTCACTTCTTGGCCATAGTCCGTGGGCTCACAGCCGATGCAGATCTTTCTGTTGGGGGCCGAGGAGCTGCAGGCTGTGGTGGCAGCTCCTCTCCTCTGCCCTGGGCTCCGCAGGGGGGTCGGCGAGGGCTGCCCCTTGCCTGGCAGGAGGAGCCTGGCTGGCAGCTCCCCGGGCAGCCTGGAAGCTTTGGTACCTGGTAGTTCCTTTGGTTGTTGAGATTGGCATATGTCTGTCAAAGTGTTCCACCTTTGGCCCGGAGAACACACGTTAAACCTCCTAATGAGCCTTTGGAATTGTGTTTTGGTTTATAAACTCTTGCTGCAAGTGGCTTTAACAAACCCCTAAGCTGGCAGGCAGCAGGGATGAGTCAGGGGTAGGAGAAGAGGGTGAGCCCTTCTATTCAGATTATCTACCCCAGAGTAGAATGAGCTGCTACAGGCTTTATCTGTGGTTTTCAGAGATAACGCTGCCATTAATTCCCATGAAGGCCCTTCTGAGAATTTATTGCTCGAACGGTCTTGCTCCTCCAGACTGGCATTAAAGGACATTCCCACCGAGGCTGTGGGGGTACGGTGTGTGCACAATGCCATCTCCTCCCCGTGGAGTGCTCCATTCAGCACCTTTCACAAGAATTATGTTAATTAATGTAACGTTTGTTAGTGATTTCTGTGGCAGTGTTCACAAGGAAGCGGGTGGAGGCTCGTTCCTCTGGGTGGGTGGAAGTAGGAACAGAGCAGCCTTGTTGCCTACATGGATGTCTCCATTCTTTTTGTGCACAAAAGAGCAAATGCACTTGTGGCTCGGGACAGGGTGGTACAGACCCTCCTTCAGCTCAAGAAGAGATGAACCTTTGTATTGCTACCATGAGCTGCTTCTTCTGGTGCGCTGCTGTTCTCTCACAGATGAAACTCCAGGCAGAGGCCCTGCCACTTGCTGTCACAAGAGCTGCCACAAAGTCCTGCAGTTAGAAATGCCCCCAGACAAGCATCCCTGAGGTTCCAGTTCTTCCCACTGCTCCCAGTGGAGGGTTCTTCTTCCCTGTTCAGAATGGCTGTGGGCTCTCACTGGGCGGTGTAGGAGCTGGTGTGGATTCCCAGAGCTGTGTCCGATAGACACCTCATCCCTTTTGGCCATCAGCACAGTGACTTTGCCTCTCCCGAGCGAGGCGTATCTCCACTCCGAGGCAGCTCTGCGACAGGACTGGCGCGGGGATGCTCCTCATAGCACGCGGGGGCCTTAGATTTGTGGAGACAGGAGTCCTGCTTAAAAGTCATTGCTACCATTTCTGGGTACTTTCAGAAGGATTTCCTTTGAGGGTTTCTTGGTTTCTGCTTTAAAACTCCCTCAGAGAGAGTACAAAGAGTCTGAAACCAGTAATTTAGAGAGGGGAGTGTCAGCAAGAGTCAAAAGTGACAGAGTGGATTTTGATTCCTTTTCCTTTTGAAGCTGCTTCCCCTTTGATTATATCCCTCCCATTATAATGTGTAGATCTGGAAAGGTGATTATTTTTTAACATCTCTCAAAATAAGCAGCGTGTCAAGCAAATACCACCACCTTTGTAAATGGGTGTGTATATATTGTAATGAACACGCTGGGATATGTATAGCACCATCTTTTGACAGCTGAGTATAATCAGAGCTATTGGACATTGTACCATGAGCTCTGCCGTGAGCTGATGAAGCAAAGTCTGGGCAAGAAGGAAGATGCTCCTGTAGCAAAGAAGTAACGTGCCAAGTGTGCCCAGCGGGGTCAGGGACCTTCCTAGATGTCCCCTTTGTCCTGGCAAGCGACAGAGATGCAGCAGCAAAGTCCTGTTTGCTCTCTGCATGGTTGCGGAGGGGAAAGGGGGTTGGTTTTGTGTTTTTTTTTTATCGTACTCATGAGACGGCTGAAGCTGAGACAGTAGCTCTTGCTATTGCAATAGGCTTTGTTAGCTGCAGGAAAAAAGTCAGCCATGCATTTTGCAATTGCTTCAAAGCCGGTGCAGAAGAAAGGAAACATTGACAAGACCCTTGTACAAAACACACAGCCTGAGGTTCTTCAGATACAGAGTGTTTAGGGGAATATTTAAAACAAATGTTTCAAATGACACAAAGACAAACCAGCAGGGAAGCAAGGTTTGCCCTCCACTTTGTCAAATACAGGGGAGGAAAGCTAAGCAACTCCCAGCTATGCTTTAGCAAAGATCCGAGCGTGTTCCTAATCCCCGATGCAATTCATGTATTTTAAAGGCCTTACTTGCTAAAAACATAAAAGACTCTGTCAATTCCAGCAATATTTTTCACTTCAATTAATCATCCCAGCAAATTTTAACTTTATCATCTCTTTGTATCTGTTTAGTTTGAGCAAAGCCAACTTTTCTCATTGTCTCTCTGCAGATTATGAAAGCCTTTGTGGATTATATCATCAAATTAAATCGAGCCTGTTAGTGTTACTCTAAGAATATCACAGTAATGGGCTGTGCCTCAGGCGGCATTGCCCTTCCTTCTCTTTTTAAAATGTTTTGTCTGCGTCCGTATTGCTCCGAGCTGGTGTGTCTCTCCTTGCTAATAGGAAAGTGTATAAAAATCACATAATCATTAATATTGAAGAATCATTAAGGTTGATAAAAGCAGCTCTGACTGCGATGATGTTGTTTTTCATGGTCACTGCTTTTGGAAAACACGCCATGCAAACATCAGCTCAGCTGTTTTTTAGAACCCACCAGTTGATCGAGTGGCTGTTTGACTCCATCTATTGCACTCTCGGAGATAGCTCCAGTTAGATGATAATTTCACCAGCCTGCAGGAATAAATGGATTTCTAGAGCCTGTCTCTACAGCCTTCATCCCTTTTCCACAGCCCCTGTTTTTGATGCAGACAGCATCCGAAAGCCAGCAATCTGTAGTTGAGCAGTAAAGTCTTGGTTGGGTTTTCATTAAAGCAATGATGTGCTGACTGGCTGAAAAGTGTCAAAACTGCAATCTTGTAACATCAACAAAATAAGGCAGGATGTCTTTCTTACGGGAGAGGAATACTGAAAGCATAAATGAGCCCTGCATGAAATTGGTGGATTTGAGCACTTCTCTGGGGAAAAGGTATGATGTGCATCAGACACAGTCACTTTTTTTTCCTTAATAAGAAAAGACCAGAGTCTAAAGGTTCATGACACATGACTCACCTCTGCCTTCCTCTCCCCTCTGCAGCAGTTCCTCAACAGTGCATCCCGCTGGGATTTCCTCTCTTAAGCAGAACTAGAATTGAAGTAACACTGAAGGTATAACAAAAGTGCCAAGCCAAGCCGAGCAGGCAATAAAAGGCTGGGAAAGCCAGAGGAATTTGGGGTGGTATTTTCAAGTCTGTTAGTGAGAAGAAGGAACCGACCTGAGCTAAACAGAAATACGTCTCGGGAAAACCCCTGGGTGTAAGCACTGTGTGTCTTTGTGTTACACTGGAGAGGGAGATGATAGGGACAGAGCCGATACAAGCGGTTTCTCCGGCAGAAACGAAACCTGAACCTCATCCAAGCATCTCTGCTGCCAGAGACTCCGAGAGGTCTGACTGTCAGGGGGTGGGTAGGAATGTGGCTGCGACTGAGCAGTGTGTGTGTGTGTGTGTGTGTGTGTGTGTGTGTGTGTGTGTGTGTGTGTGTGGGCCTGCACATGCAGCTCGCTGACGGCAGCGTAGAGGCAGCTTCACGCCCATGTCCCTGGCGCGTTACATCCACCCAGGGATGAGTGATGATGATTCCAAACTGGATCCTCCGTGTGAGGATTTGTGTTTGCCGAGTTACCCAGGGAGGTGATGGGCTTTGTAATTAAAGCACAAAGGCTTTTGAGTCACAGTGTGCTTCATACCCTTTGCTTTCCCATGCCAGGAATCATTTTAGGGAACCCTACAGAAATACAACTCTAACACTGAGATGTTCCAAACCCAGGGTTGTTAACGTCTCTAGTTTCATTTAATCCTGACTGCTACAAGATTGTCTACACACCCTGTATAGTTTTTTTGGCATGGCATGCCGTGTCATTCTGTCTCACTGGAAGTTCTCCTATAACCCATTTGCGTAAGACAACGCTTGGCATGCAGTATTTTTGCATGAATGACATGGTTGGTCCAAGTACTTGGTTGGCATTTTCTTCATCTGCGTGTGTCCCATTGCCATCTGCTGGAGACTGGCGAGCGTGCTCGCAGGGACCGTGCTGTTAGCCAAAGGGAGCCGTCCCTAAAGTCACCCGCTCTCTGTTCAAGATTCATTGAGTTTCTGGTCTCTCTGCTGCCAGATGAGTCTGTGGTTTGTCTATATGCTGGTTGTGGGAAACCCTGGGTCGTGGCACGGTGCAAAAGTACTTTGTGCCCCAGATAACAAACACTGCGTCAGGACAGATCAATCAAAGTCCTGACTTGGATGCTTTTGTTAAAATACATTTCTCTCACTTAGAAGAAGGTTATGCTTGTAACTGGGTTAGAAAGAGGCTGACTTCAGGTTTACAGCTGAACAAAGGTTAGGGATGGAATTGCCTGACCACTTCGGCAAAGACAAGACTGGAAAACAAGGTCAAGGCTTGCAGTCATGACTGGTGGCTTAAAGGGTGGACCTTGAGCTGTTCCTTGGAGGTGTTCTTTCAGAAAGGCCAGGCCTTTGAAAACCAGGCCTCTCCACAGCAGCCCATTGTGGGTTCCAGAGCTCACTAGTCCTTTTAGAAGATCTCAGCCTAGCCCGTGGCCGGTCTGGATCCCATCCAGTATTGGGACTGGAAGCTGCTGCCTGTCCCAGCTCCTGCAGATCGCTTTAGAGCTAAAGAAGATTGCATGAACGGGGCTTCACCTCGCTGTTCTGTTTGCCATGCAGGAGGCCTTCGAGGAGCTACGGTGGTAGATGCCTTAGATACACTGTACATCATGGAACTCGAGGAGGAATTCCAAGAAGCAAAGAAGTGGGTGGAGAAGAGCTTTGACTTGAATGTGGTGAGTCCGTCACTGGGAATGCCTGTCTGTGTCACCAAAACCTGCGCGTTTGGCCAGTTCTGACCACAATCTTCTCTAGGAATCATGTGGGGAGGGGAACTATGAAGTCTGTCAGGGAAGAAACCACTCAACTCTGATTTTTTTTTTTTTAAGGCTAAAGGTACTACTGTGATGATTCACCCCATCTTCTGCCTATACAGGCACAGGGTTCCAGCCAGGAGCCACCAGATCAGATTCACAGTGTCTGGCTGAAAATGAGATTCAGTGTTTGATGGGTTTTGTGTTTTGGTCTGGATTATAAAACCAACTGTAATTATTAGATACTTCCAGGAAGTTTTCTTCATCAAAGAACAAGTTCTGTTTCATCTCAGTTAAATGTCTGCCTGTGATAAGACAAGTTTTCTTTTTACACGCTATAGATTGAGATTGAAAATGCTCATCTCCTTTGTTGGCATGTCACTGCTGGGACTTGTGCAGTGGGAGCGTGGCACCTCGGCAGCAAAGCAGGAGCCTACATTTGGAAGGAAGGGCATCATCTCTAAAAATGGCCAGAGATGCTCTCTGTGGCCCCTGAAGCTTTCCTAGCCGCTTCTTAGAGCTGGTGTTAGACCTGCAGGGACTCTGGGTGCAACACATTCCTTGCAGTGCCGTCAGATGAAGGATGCTCTCCTTTATCTCACTGTGTGGCCAGAGCCCCTTGCCATAACTCTGTCGGTCTCCAAGCCAACCCTTGTATTTCTCTCATGGGAGAGCTGATGGGATCTCATCAGTGGCATACAAAGAATGTTAAAACCAGAGCACAGTTCAAACTTTTATTTTTTTTTTAATGCCAGCCTACTTGTCTGTTGTGAAAAATGGTTCCCCCCATGGGAACAATGCATGCAGCTGCCTTTATAGAAAAGCATTATTTGGGAGGGCACGACTGGCATTCATGTATTCATAAAAGGAAGACCACATCTGATAAATTTGGTGAATGCTCTCAGTATGTTACTGAATCGATAAACAAGGGACAAAATCAACTGGGAGATAATTTATCTGGATTTCATAAAAGCTTTTAATCTTGGCCTGCAGAATAGATTGATCTGCAAAGACAAGAATGAATGCTATGGATTGATCAGTGGAGTCGGAAAGCACAGCAGAGGGAGGGAAGGAGGGAAATTAATTAAAAATTGTCTATGTACAAGGAACTCTCATAGTCCAGAAAACTGAGGCAGAACTCCAAGGCCCACAAGCTCTGTTTGAAACCGAGTGCCGTGATCTGTCTCATGCAATTGCAGCCATCATCTCAAGAAAGCGCTTGCTCTGAGTTGTAACCTGCAGGTATTTGGAAAGGGCAGGCTAGAGCAGAGGTTCGAGTGCCCCTTTACTCACTGAAAGTGCTGTGTTGGTGGAAGATCTTTCTGATTTGGGGCTTTATGCATTTGCGTGAGGGTAGGAATCGTTTATCATGCAGATTCAGCAGCCAGGAGCATGTATTTTTTAAAGGCGCGTTTTGAATGCAATCGTTTTGACATTTGCTGATCGTCAGCTGCGTAGGTAGAGCAAAACTTGTTCCAGGTGAGTGGGTTCTTGAGCGATTCAGTGACCCGTGCCCGTCTGTGGCTGCTGTCTGTGGTGGGGGGGGGCACACGGATATGGTGTAGTTTGTCTCTCCGTGAGCATGCCCACGACAGGCAGCCTAGAGGCTGCGCTCCCCTCTGAGCCTGCAGGCTGGGGTGAGTCTTTGAATGACCCAGAATACCTGCCTAATGCAGGAGATGCATTACGTCTGTCTAATGCACTGCCCTCTCCACAAGAAAATGGAGAAAGTAATTTTTCCACGCGGCTGTACAATTTTCTCTTTAAATAAAACCTCTCAAGGAGCAAATTTTTGCCCTAAACTCACAGCTTTTTGCAAGGCATAACCCAAGACAGGGTTGGGTGGATGGATGGACAGTACGTCTGCCCCAGCTGATTTACATATTGTCAGCTGGTGATAAATGGGCAGTTTGGGTGTTTCTCTTCCCTTCAGGCTCCACCTGTCACTGTAGAGCAAATAAAAGTGCTGTGAGATCTGAGACAAAAAGCTGTGTTACACTGTGGGTGAGGACTGGGAGACTTGAGTATCTGCCTGCAATCTGTTCCCCTTAGCTGCCATTTGTGCGTGCAGACTTTGCAGTCAAGTATATCATTATGTATTTTCAGAACGGAGAAGCATCCTTGTTTGAGGTGAACATCCGCTATATTGGAGGACTGTTGGCCGCGTACTACTTGACTGGAGAAGAGGTTTGTTTCAGCAGCCCTGCATGTCTCACACAGTCACCGATAACGAACTGAAAGGGTTCTCCAGCAGCTTTTCTCTGAGCATCAGATAATCCCTCCATAACAACAGGCTAAAACCTATCGTTTTTATGAATATCGAAATGCCACTAATGTTCTTTTAATTAAGTCTCACATAATTACCTTGCACACACCGTGCATGGCTCGTTTGCAAAGATCTTTTTCTCCTGTGGGCAATTCTAGCAAGACATGGTTTTGGTTGGACACATCGCTCCCCAGTGACATGCAGTGATCTTTGTGCCGGTTCCTTTGTATTCTAAACTTGGGCAATATTTCATCAGACATTCCGGATTCTGCCTCAGACTATGGAAGGCAGCTGATTAGTGGCAGGTGCTCCAGACTCTACCTGGACAGTCTCTCTGTAGCAGTAGTTTCTCAGATAAAGTGCCCTGGGGTGCAAGGAAGGAGGGCAGGGTACCTGTATCCTGCCAGCTTGTGTGACAGGGTGACACAGCCCCCCAGAGTGTCCCCTTGCCCAGCAGGTGTGGGCTCAGTGTCACAGCCCCTCGAGCAGCCCTTCAGTGGGTTCTCCCATCCCTCAGGAGCCCTGGCTGAGGCAGGAGGCTCTCGCTGCCACTTTCCTTCTTTCTCCCCAGCCCAAGCAGAGGCCAGGGCTTAATGCCATAATCTGTTATATAATGTGACTGGACTGGAATTTTACAGCTGTAGAGAGATGAAGAGATTATTCCTTTGCCCTGGAAGTCTTAGGCAAGCAGAAACTCTGACTCCAGGGGGAGTTTTGTGGGTGAAGGAACTGGAAGATTGGCTCTTAAATGAGAGCTTAGCTCTCGTGCCATACACCGACTGTGGCTGGGTGCTGTCCACCATAATAGGATGGGATGGCTCATCACTGCATAGTGGCACCATTGATCCGTGGAGTCACAGGAGCGGCTCTGTTACTTTAGTTGCATTTTAAATGAGTTCTAGGAATGACTTCTCTCTGTGATTTCCCTCCAGGGAAAACTCTCAAAGACTCAGTGCCCCGACTCAGGGCCTGTCTCAGTCACAACTTCAACAGGCTTCAGATCAACAGAGCAAAGAGAAACCATATTAAACCATAAAACTCCAGCAGTGACCTCTTGAAGTTCAGTCAGCAGTGTTGCTCAGCAGCCAGGGCAGTGCCTGTCATATACCCAGTTAGTGTCACCAGGCTGAAAGGCAAAAATCAAGTCCCTGTCTCTAGCTTTCCGTTCTGAACCAAACCCCTATCTCCTTGTGAGTGCATCAAAGGTCTGCAAGCCCACAGGAGAGCTCAGGTTTCCTCAGTGCTGTATTTTTAGAGCAATAAATTCTTGCTTTCTGAGAACTACTGTGACAGCTTGGGCTGGTATAGGGGGTTAGAGGTAAAAGGCTTGTGCTTTATCTCCTAAGTCACTTACAGGCTTCTCTTGATCAGGACTAATCTCTGGAGGACAGATTAGTGCTTATATCAGTTTGTCCCAAAATAATTGTGTATGATGGCTTTGTGCTGCGAGCCACCGTAAGCTATAATTTGATTTGAAAGCCCAAACCTGAGGCATCACAAATGGAAAAGGAGCAGCTTAGCTATGAAACCATGAATCCTTCCTGGAAAAGAGTTGCAAATAAAAGATTGTTTGTTGGAAATCATGTTTTTTACAACAGAAGATGACACAAGCTAGGCAAACCCATGTTGTAAATCTTAACAATGCTTCACCCGAGAAGGACTTCTTTTGATTTTAATTCAGTCATTTCACCTCCCCGTATCCTCTGCCACCCTGGGAAAAGGGAGAAATTTGTCCCCAAAGAGTACTCTTTGGATCAGTTCAGATCATGGAAATTTGCCGCTGAGTTACTTGGGGTGTTCTGAGCTCTGCAGCTCCGGCTGCTCTCATCCAGGCTGAGGGTTTGGCAGGGGACTTGGGGCCGGTGCCCTGCAGATTTTTAGAGGACATTCAGGTAGGTACCAGAGTTCAGCATGACTTTTGGTTCAGATCTATCATGTAGTGGAACTAGGGCAGCAGCATACCTGAAACGGTAGATTCTTGCAGTGCGGCAGTTCTAGCTTTTTATAATGGTGTGTTTGAAAAAGGTGGATTTGAAAGAATCCAGTGTGACTAGTATTCGCAACCAGTCCATCAAATATTTATTCTCTCTTTTTCTTTTAACAGGTGTTCAAGAGTAAAGCTCTGGAACTTGGAGAGAAACTTTTACCAGCTTTTAACACCCCCACTGGTATCCCACGTGGCGTCATAAATCTGGGCAGGCAAGACACACGTCCTTACAAGCATGTCATTTTATTACTGAGTGTTTGTAAAAGACCAGGATTCAAGCAGGAACGGCAGCAGTTCCTCAGAGGTGCCCCCCTCTAGTGCAGATTCTTCGAGGTCATTTGTTTTGCCAACTCAAAACCAAGAGGTGCCTTGGCAGAGATTGCAGGTGACTCAAGTTGAACCCAGATGTGTTTTATTAATTTTGGGCTATCCACAGTTTCTTCCTCTACCTCTTGGCAGGGCTCCCTGCTGCAATAGCATTTTCCTCACTCTCATTTTCTTTGAAAGGTTATTTGTAGTCTGCACGTAGCATGCAGTGCTCTCTGTATTTTTGCAGTGTGCCCACTAGATGCATGTGAATTTACCCAGGCTCCGTGTTTGGAAAAATTGGGAAAGGAACTAGATGGGACTGGCTGAGTTTTGCTGCTAGAAAGCGGGGAGTATACAGATCCTCTAGTTCCCTCCCTGCCAGCAGCACCCAGCCAGGTGTGTATCCTTCACTTAGAGCCACAACATTTCATGTCAGGTAGGTGGTGTTCTCGCGCTGGAGGGCAGCTTCGAGGCGGCTGGGTTAAATACCTTCCTGAAGGTCTCTCAGCAAACAGATTCTTGCTGTAGACAATGTTCCCTGCCAGTAAGGGCTCATTGGCTCATTTTGATGCCTACAACCAAATCCCCCAGGGTAAAAGCTGCATGCTGGCTGAAACAGCAGGAAATGTGGGTTAACAAAAGCCTTTCATCCTCACCTCCTGCAAAACTCAGAGCAGCAGCCCTGAAAATAATTTCCATCTCATAGCCCAAATCTCCCGTTTGGCTTGTGTCTCTGTGAAGTGCAGGATTTTCGAATGTTTGGCTCACACGGATACATTCCTCAAATATCTCTGTCACCCTTCAGTTGTCTTATTTGCACGTGATCCCGGGGAAAATTTGAGCCACCACCACGACTTTAATTGTCTCTTTTTATAGAAGAGACATTCTGCTTCCTCTGTGGCGGATAAAGACGCGGCATAGACTAACCTTTCACAGAAATGCCAAACCCTCCCCTGCCCTTTGTGAAGGCAATTGAAACAGACTGTGTCTGCCTAGACATTCCCAAAATGTTTTGCTGATGACCTTGACTAAGAGCAAAGTAAAATCAAAATAACACTGAGCCCACAATCCAGAACCTGTAGTACTGGCTTGAGCTCTGGCTTCAGGGCTGTGAAACTGCTGTGAGGACTCGGAGTATCAGTTGATTTAGGAGCAAGGATGAAGTGAGCTAAATCTGTAGTCTGAGTACTGCAGGAGCATAATGAACAGCCAAAGGCTGTAAAACCCAACGGGAAGGGACTTCTTCCACGTGAGCTAGCGTGTGGAAGTGGAAGCAGAGGAGAGGGAGGGGGTGCTGTGAGAGCACCCTGACACACATGTCAGGGCCCAACCAAAGCCTGGAAGAGTTTTGCAAGAAGGAATTCTCTCTCCAGTCCTACTGTTGGAAGGATGTGCTAATTCCAGAGAGACCTCATCATCTCAAAAGCGGGAGAGTCTTGCAGCATGTGTAGGCTTTTGTTGGTGGTAGCTTGGAGGGGGTTGTGTGTTTAAGAATGACATTGAAAAATTTGAAACAAAGAAAAGTTGCCGTTAAGTCAGTTCTGTGTATACATTTTTGAGGACCCGAGTACAAAGAAACCCACCCCCTCCAGCTCTTCCCATAGCCAACTGGCTTTATCTCTTCCTATCACCTCATACCAGCTTTTCCTCTCGTGTCCCCTCTCCGCTGATGTGCTTCCCTGTGGCCTTCTGTTTTCACACAGGCACTGTATCATATCGCACACAGGCTTGTTTTCCATCCTGCTGGTCCAACTGCCACGTCGTCTGCCAGGTCCTAGCGTACATTGTCTTCTCAAGCTGCTGCTCTGTGCTCTCTGCCTGGGTGTCGCACTGTGATTTCTCTCCTGATGCCTCCTGTTCAGGTCCCTGGCCCCTGCTTTCCTTCACATCTCCCCTAAACCTTCTGTACATCCAGATTTTTCCTCATCATCCTCTCCCACTCTCTCTCTTGACTTGGCACTGATTTCCTGCTTTGGATTTCCGTGAGGGACGGAGATGATACAACCATTTTCAGTCCTTGCTTGCACTGGGCAGTGTTTAAGGAAGACCCACTTATCTGGGGGATAAAGAGAGCTCTGGGAATTTTTTTTGGTCTTGAGGACCAAGGTCCTTTAAACAGTAGTTTCCTCGAAATGTTATAAAACAGGGCAGCTATGAACACCCAGTTTGTCCAGTCTGTAATGCTGAAAAAATGTTTTCCTGCAGGGGGGTCATTTCAGGCTGCCCTTTAACCCAGGGACGCATTGCAGATGTACTCTGTTTCCTCCAGACCACCTCTCCTTGAGTTTTTTACCATGATTTCTAACCCAGGGCTTGCGTTCCCAGCAGCACAGTCCTTGCAGGCAGTGCTTGGCTGCGTGTTTGGGACGGAAGCTCCCAGGGAAGGGTTGTGTCAGCTGCTGTGACCCCACATAACCGCTGTCACAACAAACACGGCCCCATTTGGCTGCTTCCAAGCACTCCTCAGTTGAACTTGCTCAGAAAGCAGTTTCTGTTTGCGAGATCGTATTTGTTACAACGTCCCTTCAGTGCAGTAAATAATAAAAAAAAAAGAAAAAGTAATTGAGTCTTTATAGATATGAGCACACCATGGGATTGTTTAGCACACCCATCCCAGGGCTGGCTGCTGCCAGGCTCAGCAGATACATCCAGTGCAGCAGTAATGCCAAGGTTAAGCTGGTCACACTGGAGAACCTTTCTGCCTGCACAGGGAGATCTCTGCCATAAACCTTCGACGTTCTTGGGGTACCCGTTTCAGCTGCATACAGCGTTTTCAAACGAAAAGCTGGTGATACAACCTCCTGACAGTTTGCAGGGAAGGCTGACGTTTGGCAGCGGCTGAGCAATTTGAAACGGCATGAACATATTGCTTATCTAATGGTTCTTTTTGTCTGGAGGCTAAACAAACAGCTCTGGACCTGAAATGGTTTTCCGTATATCACATGGAGGGGAAACTTTTTTTTTTTTTTTTCCCCTCTCTCAGAAAGATCATTAGTTTTAGCCTCCTGTAAACAACAGAAACCCTTTCCTTCTAATAGTCAGGCGCCATCTAGTGTTACCCCCCCCCCTCCCCTCCATCCCTGGAAACCTGTTTCCTCATCAGCATCAACCGCAAACAGCGCTCGCAGATAGACCTGAAAATCCCAAGGCACGTCGCTTCTGAGATGGCTCAGCCAAGCTTCCCTGGGCCAGCAGAGGCTGTTTTGGGACCAAGGCTTAAGGATATTTGGCATTTTCATGTCTGTGTAGATTTCAGAGAGGCACGGAGCTGTAATCTGTAGCAGTGGGATGCAAGAAGAAAGTGGTGGAATTAAAAAGCAAATCCAAGGGTGAAGCTGTTAGTGCTTGGAAGAGCCCTCCCACGTCCTTTGGTTTGTTTTCCTTCAGACTGAAGGGAGAAGTGATGCCCTCCTCATCACCACAGTGGACTCCTTGCGTTGCTTCAGTGCTGATTTCTCTCTTTGCATGGATTTGACAGGGTGAGGGGAGACAAACAGAAAACTGAGAAGGGATCCCAGTACATCAAAAGTAGGAACAGAGACACTTTATATAACTGACTGCTTCAGTGTTTGCCACCTCTTGTCGCTTTATGCTGGCCCTCCTGTTCTTGCAGAGCACATGAGATGAGCACCAGTGGGGTGTTTTCAGAGTGAGCTTTGTCCTCTGCAGATGTTAAGACTCCCCATGGCTTTTCATTACAGTCAGGTTTGCCCAATGGCATCTTTCCCCGAGTGTTGATGTCACTGTATCCCCTTTCAAGCAAACGTACACAGGGAATGTCAATGTCAAATATATATAAAGAGTGTGAAATCTTGCTGAAACGAGGTGCTTGGGGACAGTCTGCACTCTCCATAAAATAGCAGGCTTGTTGGACTTGTGGGACATTTGAGATGCGAGAGTTCAGGCCAGGCTACTTACAGACATATTTTATCTCAAAGTGTCTTGTGTAGGGCAGGTTGTCGGTGTTCTTCCAAGGGTTGCTTTGAGTTTGGGAGGGAATACTCTCGCACAAAAACTGCAGCTTCCCAGCATGTGCAGTCTGTGTGTTTGCCCTATCCTAAACAGTCCTGTGTAAAACTATTGCCCCATCCCACTAGAACTGCTCCTGTGAGACCCTAGAAATCTGTGTATGTCCTTTCCATGGCCCCTGTTGAGACCTGGTGTGCAGTGCATGCACACAGTAAGGCAGGATCTGCACTGGGGCGGTGGGGGACCTCAGGCTTTGGCTGTGTTTTCCTGGCAGTGAAGGCTCCCTTTTCTCTCCTTGCAGTGGCATGAGCTGGAGTTGGGGTTGGGCATCGGCTGGAAGCAGCATCTTAGCGGAATTTGGTACCTTGCACTTGGAATTCCTGCACCTCTCGGAGCTCTCTGGCAACCCGGTGTTTGCAGAAAAGGCAAGTACTTCCCAGCTTGGTCTTCAGTGAACTGGTCTCTCCTGGGGTCAGTGCTGGGGAAGAGCGGCACTGCGGGCAGCAGACAACATGGCAACAGTGTGTTCCTTCTCCCCAGTACCAGTACAACTCGCCAGAGAAACCTTCCAGAGTGGGACACGGGGTTCAGAAACCCGAGTCTTGCAGGCCTCGGAGCCTGCTACACACCAGCTCCCTGAAAAAGCCACAGCAAGCTCCCGTCGGAGATCCCATCGCACCAATAGCCCTTGGAAAGCAGCTTCCCCTGTGTTTTCTTTGCCCATTTGCTGTAGCCCCTTCACCTCCCTCTCCCTCACTTGCAGCCACCGGGGTGATGGGGATGTTTCTCCCAGTGTCTCAGCCATGTGAAGTTGTAGCAAAAACTTGCTCAGACAAAGACACGGCCAAAATTAAACCATCTGTCGGATGCAGGCTGCAAAGATAATTGTTAATTCTGATATCCTAATAGTAGTGCCTTGTACTTGCAGACCTTTTTACTCTAAACAGGCATTAAATGTTATGCTCTAGCCAGCAAGATTTCTGCTGAGGTTTCCAGTGTAGGACAGATCTGACAGTTGACATATTGGATTCCTTTTGTGTAACTAGTAACTGAAAATCTATTAATATTATACATTACCTTGAGCTCTTTTTTTTCCACAAGTGATCTTATAGTGCATGTGAGAGCAACTTAATAAATATGCTGTTGGATACCAGCAAGTCATTAGCTTTCGCTGCACATCCCCGAGGAACCAGCTTTGATGGAGACAAATTGTTCCAGTTAGAATCCAAACTGCCCCCATGAGCCTGAAGGAAATGGGGCCTGTCCAGAGTCCCACGGTGGGGTGAAAACAGACAGTGGTTCTAGGATTGCCAGTAAAAAGCTCAAAATGGTACTTTTCCTGGATATTTCCAGTGCAGGTCTGTCAGTTGTGAAACAAGAAGAGAATTTGAAGAGGAGACAGGAAAGAGAAGGAAGAAGCCAGGAGAGCAAAACGGAGAGTAGGATGGAGTGTAGGGAAAGCAATAAGGGAAGGGGGGGGTGAGCAGAGGAATGTCACAGAGGGGTGAGCAGGAGAGAAAAACAGAGGCTGAAGGAAAACTGGAAGCCCAGGAAACTCTGTAGGGAAGGTAAAGAAAGACTGGTGATTTGAAATAAAGGAGACAAGCTAAAAAATCCTGAGGACAGTGATAATGACAAATTGCTCAGAGGAAGGGGGGAGCTGAGAAAAGACTGGTAAAGGGAACAGTGGTATGGAAACCAAATGTGTGCTAGGGAAATGAAGTATGTGGGGGGAGAGCTGAGCACTGAAAACACAAGGGCAGGAAGATGCACTGTTAAAATCTAGAATTGCATCCGTATTCCAGGTTCAGACTGTGGCATTTAGAGCCAGGGTCAAGCCTCTGTCCCCAGCCTAACACATTTTCCTCTTTGCCTTTAAGCCCATAGAGGGGTAAGGGCAGAACCTTTCTAATGGATTCTTCTGAGCTGAGCATGCCTGGGGTGTGCCACAGAAAATGTACCACATTCATCCTAACACCCTCTGAGAGAAAAAATGTAGGATGATGTGGGCTCAAACAGCCCATCCTGTGGGAAATTACTTCAGAGAAACAGATCAACTCATTAACTTGCAGCTTGAGACTTGTGTGATTTTAGCAAGAATAAAGTCCATCTGTGTCTTTTATTCAAACATGTCATTAATATGCCATGCTACTAAACTTCAGTAAATATTATGCAGCCTGACGACTTACTTGGAAGCACCGACTTAAGTCTGTAGCCAGCTTTTGGCGTACAAATTGTCTAATTTTATAAAAGGTTTAGAGTGTGTTAGCTGCTCCGTAGGTTATAATAGAATATTTATGCTGCATACCATTTAACTTTGTCCCTTATGGGAAAGACCTATTGGATTTAATGGGGGTGAAACCAAGGGAGGTTTTAGAGAATAAGTACGGCTGTTCTAGCATATTAAAGGAGCTGTCTGTTGTTGAAATTAAAGGCCCCAATTCATCATGTTAAGTGACCACATGGTGAATTTAAGTACTGTGTGAGTCACTTATCCCTGCCACTCCTTTCTCTTTGGATCATGGAAAAAATCACACTCTGCATCTCATACATTTCCACCCAGATCCCAAATCCTTGGGATTGCTTCTAGACCACTGTTAGTGAACTGCTTCCCCTTGCTCACTGAACTGGGGCCTTGCAGGGTTTTTAGAATCATTTCTAAAATCCCACAGAACTGGATAAAATTGTGCTGAGCACTCCAGCCCAAAAGCTTCTCCATCACAAGCCTCTCACCGAGAGCCATGTCACTGGGTTCTGCCTGCACGGTGACTCACAGCTTTAGCAGCTGCGGGACTTGTTCAGCCAGGGATCAGCGCTGGTGAATTACACAGTTCTCAGCAGCAGGACAAAGCAGTCGGCTTTTGCAACAGGGAAGTAACATGCTTCTTGTCTCTCATCTTTCCTAGGTGACCAACATCCGGAAAGTCCTGAACAGAGTTGAGAAGCCTCAGGGCCTTTATCCCAACTTTCTCAGCCCGGTGACAGGGAACTGGGTGCAGCGTAGGTATCACTCTGCATTCAGAGTCCTGCCTGGAACATTTCAGTCTTTCCATTATTCTTTAGGAAGCAATAGCAACTGTCAGAGCAGCAAGCCAAGGAAATGTCTTGTCGTGCAGCCTGTTATACATGTGATTAGATAATGCAACCCGGTTTGTAAGATGCAATATAGTAATGTACACTTATTCCATCAGCCCTGTTTCCAGCTGAGTGTCTCACCTCCAGAGAGAATTAAGGCCTCTCTTGCACGGAGGAGGATAATGGTACATGGTTCATCACACAGATATTAGAAATCAGCACATCTCTTTAAGACCTCATCCTGCAGTCATCACATAGCCCACAGACCTCCTTGGGAGTTGGACGGGAAGGCTGTGAGCAGAAGTGCTGTAGGATTTACCTCCTGAGTGTGCTGCAGCAAGGAAAGAACCGGCTGGAGAGGCAGAGGGCTTTACAGATCCCCCTAGGGTGTAGGGATGTGTTCTTGTGTGCATTCGTGTACCTGTTACCGTGGTGCCTCTGGGTAGTGCAATTTTGTGCAAGAAGGGTGAGACAAGTTTGTGTCCTTTTCTCTCGCTGGGAATCCAGCACTGACCAGCACTGCAGACATGGGAATAGATACTGCTTCGATATGAAAGAGGAGCAGTAACAAGGAAAGGGCTTGAAAAGAGCAAGGAAATATTAGAAGCAGTATACCCAGGGAGAGATTATTTACTGTCCTGCCCCTTCCTTACCCAGAGAAGAGACCGTACCCCTCTTTCTGTGCCCCCAAAGGGCAGAAGCTTCCCCTCTGGTAGGAAAATGTGAGGCCACTTCTGCTGCTGTGCCCCAGATCTCTGACCTTAACTTTCCACTCTTAAGGATTTGCTTGTTTTGGCAAGGGAGAGTTGCTGGATTTCATGTTCTTCTGTCAAAGGAAAGTCTCTTTTTGCAGAAGCTGTTTTTAACCTGTCAGCGGATTACTTTGAAATTGTTTAAGCAGTTTTCTATGACTCATTGCATTACCTTGTGTCCCCGTGTGTCGGTTGCTCTGCTAGATGGCTCCGGAGCTTTCTAGCGACTGTGTTAATAGATCTGTTCATAACGGACAGGCAGTTGCATGGCTGCCATCGTCTGGGACAGTGAGAGCGCTCCAGCTGGGAGCAATCCCTGACCTTTCACTGCCATAGCAGCACCTCTAATGGTCATTGGCAGGGCTTGGTTTGAAAGGTGTCCCAACAAAGCGGCTGGGATGGTTGCAGTTGTCCCATGAAACCAGAGCTGTCCTTTGGTGCCACAAGGAAAGAAAACAGGCGTCTGTGTTTGTCCCATTGATTGATCTTCCAAGTTATCCGGTCCCTTTGTAAGCAGTTCAGCTTCCTCTCCACATTTGTCTCTGCAGAGTTGTTGCAGTATGTTCCACTTGGAAAGCTAATCTCCCATCCCCTACTGCACCCCCGAGATGCCATTTTCTTTAGGTTATTCCCAAGTGACACCCATACTTCACATTTTACCAGACTCGAGCATTAGTTCTGCCTATTCATTGGTTCTGAGAGGAGAAGAAGTGCCTGTCTGTTGCGATAATTGATCATTACAGAATCTTTGGGAAACTGAAGAGCTGTGCTCTTAATTCAGATGGTTAAAATAGTCAGCTTGAAACTCAGTATTCATCTCTTCCGCCACTAATTTAATTCTATTTATGTCCGCAGATTTAACTTCATTGTACTGACCTGCTCCCACCCCTTCCTGACAGATAGAGGGACCTGTTGCTGGTTCTGGGAGCTTATTAAAAGTAGCTTCTTACTTGTGCCGGGATGGGCTGATTTATGCAAAAAGACTAGAGATAATCTCTCCTAGACTTTCACATCACGGGGGCAACTCATGGCACAGGCTGTTTGTGGCAGTTGCTCATAATACGACCTTGTGGTCTGAATCCATATTCCAGTGAGGGAAAAGGCTCATCAGCCTCTTCTGCATCTCCAATACTGCTGGTGAGAAATAGATTAGGACCAAAGTAGGGAGGCAGCTGCAGCCTGCCACAGAGATGTTCCCTGTAGGTGCCAGGCTCTCATTTTCTCTCTTGTCATTAAAGCTCTTTGTGGGAAGCTGTTTTTCTTGGAATTGCTGTGATTTTCTTAAAAGGTGTATCTTTGACCTGTCTGAATGAGCAGATCTTCTAAATGAAGAGGCAGTGCTGTACCTCTTCTGAGTGCAGTTGTTACCTTTAGAAAATTAAAGCACGGTCCCCTGCTGAAATAAGAGGTTTGTTTATGCAAAGTGCCTAGGAGGCAAATGCTGGCAAAGCTGATGCCATATGGAAAGCAATTATGTACCAGAGCTCCTGCTTTGGTGATTTTATGAATGACACACTTAGGATCACAGAGCTTCTCTTTAAAGACAGGCTGTGCAGCCGGTGTTTGCAAATAGTCTGTCCTCTTTTTTTTTTTTTTTTTTTTTTCGCGTCTAATCTCATTGTTTTGCTATGGATTATTCCATGGATCATTGGACACACTGTATCAGGGATATTTGCTCTTCAGGTCAGGAAAATGCATGGCTGTTGATCTCTTCTGGCGGTAGGATTTAGCATTTAGAATAAGCCTCAGGACTTTAGATATGTACAGTGAAAGGGAAAATAAAAATCCGAACAGCTAACTCCAAAAACCCTGCTGCATCTGCTTACATTTAAAATGAGGATCTTGCAGACACAGAGGTGGACACTGTTAATTAACAGGGATGGTTCAGTCCGTGGTGGGTAATTTGTCTTGCTCTTCTAAAAAAGGGGAGTGCTTGGCTGCTTGAAAGAATGAATGCTGCTTTTCCCCCTGTGGTATAATTTAAAGATATAAATCCATCCAGCGGTTCCCCCCAGGCAGAAACTTGCAGCTGTCATGCCCATTTCACTCTGCAATTCCTTAGCATCCTTCTCTCCAGTAAGGTCATAGCAGAGTGTACTCTGAGCAGATAGCCTTGAAAATCTGATTTCTGCAGAAGAAAATATTCAGTGCACATCCTTGTACCTGACTTTATCATTTTAACACGCCAACAACCCCACCCTTCCCCAGGGCACGGGGTCCCACCACGAGCCAGGAATACAAATGGCACGATGGAGAAGTCCCTACAGCAGCCCCTCGCTGTGGGATCCAACATGTGTTCTCCCTTTTCTGAGGCAGAGAGGCATCACCCAGTGGATTCCTATAGGCAGAGGTCTGTCAGTCCCTGCCATTGCTCTTGGTTTACAAGGCTGGGATTTATGATGATTGCTTCATAAACAGGAAGCATCTTCAAGTTGCAGTGTAAATAACTGTTGCAAAATAAGACCTCTGAATAGTTTTGGTAAGGGATACTAATGCTTTGTAAAATGACAGAACATTTTTCTTCTGATTGCACTTTCCACCTTTCTTTTTGAAAAAGAAATGCTGCAAGCTCTCCCCAGGAAACTGGAAAGAGGAAGGAGAGAACAAGGGCATTAAATAGGACATGGTTGTTTGCTCTTTGTAAAGCAACTGCTCATTGTATATCATGAACCTGAAGTTCTTTTCTGGCTTTCCCACTACAGACCACGTCTCCATTGGGGGGCTTGGGGACAGCTTTTATGAGTATCTCATCAAATCTTGGCTAATGTCAGACAAAAAAGACTCTGAAGCTAAAAAGATGTACGACGATGCACTAGAGGTAAGGAGCAGGCTGCTGCTCTGTATTTTTTGTGGGGGACATTGTTCATCAAAATGTTTCAGGCAAAAATGTCTTAGATCTTTGGGTTTATTCACTCCTGTCCACTAAGTGAGATACTTAAGAAGTAAGTTGTACTTGCTGTCCACTAAGCATCCTGAAATCCTGATTTTCATCCCTTTAGGCAATAGAAAAGCATTTGGTCAAAAAGTCTGCTGGAGGATTGACATACATTGCTGAATGGAGGGGTGGCATCTTGGATCACAAAATGGGCCACTTGGCTTGCTTCTCTGGGGGCATGATAGCGCTTGGAGCTGAACATGCTGGAGAAGAGAGGAAGCAACATTACATGGATCTTGCTGCAGAAATAACAAACACGTGTCACGAGTCTTACACACGCTCAGGTAAACCTGGGGGCTGCCTAGAAAATGTTAGTAAAGGATCACCTACAGCCTTAGGAGACAGCTTTCGTGTGGCAGAAGGTTTGCAGGAGGATATTTGGTGCTTCAGCAGCATCTGCACCCCTGCGTGTGATTTTTCACTTCTCTTTTCTGGGATATCTAGAGGAGAAAACAGTTTCATGTAGCAGAGAGGTGGAGCAGAGGGACGGGCAGGTGTGAGCTCCTGTGGCAGAGCTGGGAAATGAACCCAGACCTGAATCCCAGTCCTGCCTCCCAGTCATACATCTAGCCTTCTCCCAGTGAGACTGTAGTTTGTCTTTCCACATCCCTTTGCAGGCCAGAAGGGGAGATTAACAGATTCATTGCAGGGTGTCCCACTCTATGGAGCAGAGCAGCTGAGAAGCCCGACAGGACAGTGTTGGAGACCTGCAGCTGCCAGTAGGAACCAAAAAACCGAAGTTGCTCAGCCTCTCCCAGCTCTCTTTGTATTTCACGAGTCCACTAAAATCCGTTTCACCACGCAGTGTGCTTAGCAGCCAGTGCTCTGGGACAGCAGTGAGTGGTGATGAAGGAGACCCGGTTAGTTCTCTGCCTGCAGGGCTTTCTGCAAGATGAGCTCGCTCTGGACACTGCTCCTTTCTCTGTAGGCAACTGCAGCTCTTCTGACACTGCAGGCAGCGAAGCAGCAGTCTGTTTTCCAGGACCTTGTCAAACCCAGGTCTGTCTGCACTAACTGTTCCCACAAATTGTTTCACACCATCACCACATCAGCAAGACCATATTGGCAGCCGGTGTTCAGCATGTTTGCCCAATAAACTTCAAGCTAACCTGAAATGATGTTTGCAAATAACTCTTTTTTTTTCCCCCCCCCCAGCACTTTACAGAGCTAAAACAAGCCACCCGAACTAATAACCCTCTGGTTGTGAGTGCCTGGAGCCAATTTTCACCTTCAGCAATATCCATCAGCCTAGAAAGGGCAGTAGCAAGCCTGCCCACACTGGTTACGGTGCTGTCATTTCAGCAAGCTCATTGTTTTGCAGAGAATGTCTGTGCATGTCACCCTGACTCTCAGCAAATAGTCCAGCCAGCAAACACTGTTAGATCCCCGCGCAGACAGGAGGGCCCAGGGGAAGGTGTGCAAAACATTTAGAGAAATAAAATGACTCCCTGAAATGCAGCCTTGTGGTAGACACATGGGTGCATGCAGCAAGAGAAGCCTTGTGGTATGAACACGAGCAACCTCTATGCTCAGTTTTCCTGCGTTTCAAATAGGCAGAGGCTTGGTGTGGAAAGCAGGGATCTGAGTGAGATGTGCATGTAAGGGACACTCACAAAGACAAGGTACTCTTAATGTTTTATTTATAAAATACCAGTGAAATTGATTAAGACATCATCCTGATGTCTTCTTTTCCAAGAGGCTGCTAGTGGAGCAGAAGGAAAGGCAGAAGTGATTGCAGATCCCAAGTCCCACTTACTACAGCCTCCGTGCCGCAGCGCAGGCGAAAGGGCTCAGGCTGGGGGACTCTTAATTGTGAAATAAACCCCCTGCCTGGGAGCAGTGTACCAGCATCTCTGTGATGGCAGGGCCAGCTGCATGCCTAGATTTTCCTTTGAATGTGTTTTCTCTTCGAGCCTTTGCGACAGGATCTACCTCTCTGTTCTTTCTCCTCCGGGTTCTGTCTTCAGTGATGAACTCTGTGCGCAGGGTCAGGGGCAGTGCAACTCCTAGGAGCGAAGAGCAGCAAGAGTGTTCAGCCGTGGGGGAGATTTATGCCTCTCCATGCTCAAATCTGGTCCAAGTCAGTGTTTTTTCTGTTGTATCGATCCTCAGCAACACTTTCTCCTCACCCAGCTAGCCCCCAGTCATACCCCAGAATGGGCAACCCCCGGAGTGGCCGTTCCGCAGCGCCTGCACTCTGGGAGTTGCCCCTGTTCTGACATCAGCTGCGAGGTTGATCTGATACACAAGCATGCCTGATCCGCTCCTCTGACCTCACGCAAACCTTAGTTAAATATTGACAGCCTGAGCAGCAGAAAAGCCCCTGGACAGTCTGTTTACCTGCTTTCTCCTCAAACTGATCATTGCACGCGTGTGATTTTGTCTAGATACCAAACTTGGCCCTGAAGCCTTTCGCTTTGATGCTGGAACTGAAGCCATGGCAACCAGACTCAGCGAGCGCTACTACATCCTACGTCCAGAAGTGGTAGAAAGCTACATGTACATGTGGCGGCTGACACACGATCCCAAGTACAGGCAGTGGGGCTGGGAGGTTGTGAAGGTACGGTTGGAAAATTCGCAGTAATAACTCCTACAGGTTGTTGGGATTCTTACAAATATCTTCAGTCAATAAAAAGAGCAGAAATTATTTAAATCATGTTAGACACACGTTAGCAGTGGGTCAGGAATACACAAAATAGCTCAGTTTAGTGTGGCGTCTTGATCACTCCGAATGTTTTCTTCTCCCTTTTGGGCTGTGCTGAAATCAGTCAGTCAGAACAGCAGAGGTTTATGGAGAGGAGCACTGCCAACAGCGAAACCTGCTATTAATGTAACAGCCCTCAGCAAAAAGGAGTCAACCTTCCATTTGAAGTATCTGGACTGCTCAGAACCACTGGTTCGTAGCTGACCAGGGAAAAATCAGCAAACCTGCCTTTGCCCTTTATCTTGTCTGCTTCCCACGAAGACCTCCCAGCCAGAATGTCCCTCACCTCTTTCTAGCTCACGCAAGAGCCCGTTGGCTGCTGCCCCACATCCTAGCAGGGGCTGCTTTTTCGTGGCAGAGCTGTCATTTGTCAGCTGCCCTGGAAAAGAGGCTTCGCAAACGCCTGGAGTTGCCACTTGAGATCCGTTTTTGCTATGTGTGTAACGTCAAGGTCGATCAATCAACTCACTTAGGTGGTTTATGTTTCTCTCGCTATTTCATTAGAACTAGCTTTATTCCCAGAGTCTGGAGTAATCACCACGCTCCTCAGTGAGGGACAGAGGCTACTATAAACCTGGAATTTGATTTGTAAAGCTGACTTGTAATGCAGCTGATGATGATTAATGAGTTACTCCATGCTACTGCGCGTTACTGAGATTTCTTTTCCTTTCTCAGGCCCTGGAAAAACATTGTAGAGTAGAAGCTGGTTTTTCTGGCATCCGAGATGTTTACACCACAACCCCAACCCATGACAACATGCAACAGAGTTTTTTCCTCGCAGAGACTCTGAAGTAAGTCTAGTATGACAGAGGCCTTTCAGATTAGCGTAATTCCTGCAGCATCAACACTCTTGCCTGCTTAGTAAGTCTCTAATAATAAGGGGGAAAATTTGTCCTCTGCGGGGAAAACTGGGCAAGGCTATGGGTGCTGCAAAGCTTTGGTAGTTTCCTCCTGTAGAACCACTGCTGTCATTGGCACTCTCGTGATTTCTGCTCATGTGCTGGGTTTAAAGGACTCTTCCTGTGATTTAGAGCTGCTCTAAGTGGGGGGGTCTGACTGTTGAGCTCCCTTGAATTAGCTCTGATGGTTTAAGCGACAGCTGTCTCCTCTGCCAGGTTGATGTCCTGCATACAGAGGAGGCATGGCCATGGCCGGAATGTGCTGCCCCTTGGTGCAGATCCGCCTTTGGTGGTAGCGTGAGCTGATGTTTATGGGGTGCCTGAGTGCAGATGCCCATCCCCTTTTTTGCCACCTTTGCTCCAGGGCTGGCAGTTTTCAGGCAGGGTCTCAGGAGATGTATCCCCATAAACCCTGGCAGGTGAGGCCCATGGCAGCCCCCAGCACAGTCCTGCAGACAGCGCTTGCTTGTGCGTGCTCGGAGTCCCACTTGAATTGCCTTTAAATCTCCCTCTGTGTCCATCTCCTTCCCACCCACCCTTGCCTTGTGGCTCCAGGTACCTCTATCTTCTGTTCTGTGAAGATGACGTGCTGTCCCTGGACGACTGGGTGTTCAACACAGAGGCTCACCCCCTGCCCGTCAACCACACGAACTTTAAAGCAAGTGTGCAGTAGTGAGGCCATTGCCCAGCGCCCTGTTTCTGCAGCGTCGGCGGGTGACTGCATTTCCTTTCCATTAAAGGAATTCGCATTGTTCCTAAAATGGTATTTTGGGGCACTAGTCCAATTCCGGACAGTATTATATTGGGAAGATGAAACCATGACGTAAGCACCTTCTTTTCCTCTGTGAGGAGCTCTATTAGCCTGATAATGAGATGTTTATTCTGGGCCATATTGTACACAGTTCATAGACATTCCTTTATACAGAGAATTTATATGAAATCCACTGACTTTGCTTTATAGTGGCCAAAGGACTGGAAGTTTGCCATAAAATAGACTTCACACACACACACACCCCACACACACACACATCTTCCTTTCGTTTTTCTGTTTTGTTTTTGCCTTTTATATACTCTTGGATTTATCACCTTTCTAACTGACAGTTTTCAATAGACTGTGCTTTCTAGGTGGTAGGCTCTTCAGGAGGACAGGATAGGAGAATGAGGAAGAGGAGTTGCCCTTTGTGTGAGACAGCAGCTGAAGTGTGTGGAGCTCTGCCTAGGGGTGACTGAGAGCTTATGGGATGGGTTAGGATTAAAGAGAGGACAGATAAAGGTGACATTATAGTCGGTGTCTGCTATGGGCCACCTGACCAGGAAGAACAAGAGGATTGGGCCCTCTGCAGGTAGATAGGAGCAGCCTCAGGTTTGAATTTGCAAGCCCTGGTCCTCATGGGGGACTTCAACCACCCTGCTGTCCGCTGGAGGGACAGCATAGCAGCACAAAAGCAATCCAGGAGGTTTCTTGAGTGGATCGATGATCAATTCCTCCACCAAGTGGCAGAGGAGCTAACAAGGAGAGTTGCTCTGCTGGACCTCATGCTCAGCAGCAAGCAGGGGCTCACTGGGGATGTGAAGAACCAAGGCAGCATTGGCTGTAGTGACCATGAGATGGTGGAGTTTAGAATCCTGAGGGCAGGAAGGAGGGTGAAAAGCAAGCTCACAACCCTGGGCTTCAGGAGAGCAGACTTGGGCCTCTTCAAAGTTCTGCTTGGAAGAGTCCTGTGGGATAAAACCCTGGAGGGAAGAGGGGCCTGAGAAAGCCAGTTAATATTCAAGAATCGTGTCCTCCAGGCTCAAAAGCGTTCCATTCCAATGAGCAGGAAGTCAGGCAAAAATGCCAGGAGGCCTGTGTGGATGAACAGAGAACTCCTAGCTGAACTCCGAGATAAAAAGGAAGCATACAGAGGGTGGAAGCAAGGATGGATAACCTGAGAGGACTAGAGAAACATTGTTGGAGCATCCAGGGCTGATGTTAGGAAAGCTGAAGCCCAAATGGAATTGAATTCAGCCAGGAATATCAAAGACAACAAGAAGGGCTTCTATAAGAACATAGGTGACAAAAGGAAGACTCGGAAAATGTGGACCCACTGCTTAACAAGACACAGAAGATGGAAAAGGTCAAAATACCAAATGTCACCTTTGTTTTTACTAGCAAGACTGGCCTTCAGGAATCCCAGGTTCCGTAGACCGGGGAGAAGGGATCAGGTCAGGGAATAGTTAAGCAAACTGGACAGACATAAGTCCATGGGCCTTGATGGGATGCACCCACGAGTGCTGAGGGAGGTGGCAGATGTCGTTGCAAGGCCACTCTGGGTAATCTTTGCTCGATCACAGTGACTGGGAGAAGTGCCTGAAGAACAGAGGAAAGCAAATGCCTCTCCTATTTTCAAGAAGGGCAAAAAGAAGGACCCAGAGAATTATATGCTCATCAGCCTCATCTCAATCCCTGGGAAGGTGACAGAGCAGCTCATCCTGGAAACCATTTCCAGGCACACAAACAACAAAAAAATTCTTCAGGAGTAGCCAGCATGGCTTCACCAAGGGGAAGTCACACTTGACCAACTTGATAAACTTCTGTGATGAAATGACCATCCTGGTAGATGCAAGGAGAGCAGCAGATACTGTCTGCCCAGACTTCAGGAGGGCCTTTGGCACTGTCACAGGAGATGCTGCTGTATGGGGTGGGTGAGCAGCCAGTGAGGTGGGTTGAAAACTGGCTGAACGGTTGGATGTAGAGGTGGTGATCAGTGGCACGAAGTCTAGAGGCCAGTAACTAACGGAGTATCCCAGGGGTCCATACTGGGTCCAGTCCTGTTTAACATCTTCATTCATGATCTGGATGATGGGGCAGAGCACACCCTGGGCAAGTTTGCTGATGACCCAAAACGAGGAGGGGTGGCGGATACGCCAGAGGGTCGTGCTGCCATCCAGGGGGACCTCGACGGGCTGGAGAAGCGGGTTGATAAAAACCTAATGAAGTTCAATAAGGAGAAGTGCAGAGTCCTCACCCAGGAAGGAACGACCCCGTGCACCAATATCTGCCTGGACACCTGCCTGAAAGCAGCTTGGCAGAAAAGGACCTGGGGGGCCTGTGGACACCAGATTGGCCATGAGGCTGCAGAGAGGGTGGATGGTGCCCTGGGCTGCACTAGACATATCGCCAGCAGGGTGAGGGACGGGATCCTTCCCCTCCACTCGGCACTGGTGAGGCCACACCTGGAGTGCTGTGTCCAGTTCTGGGCTCCCCAGTACAAGAAAGACACAGACATACTGCAGAGAGTCTAACGAAGGGCCACGAAGATCATTAAGGGACTGGAACATCTCTCCCACGAGGGAAGACTGAGAGCTGGGACTGTTTAGCCTGGAGACGAGAGGCTCAGGGGAATCTCATTACTGTATATAAATTCCTGAGGGGAGGGTGCAAAGAGGACAGAGCCAGGCTCTCTCCAGTGGTGCCCAGTGCCAGGACCAGAGGCAGTGGGCACAAAGTGACACACAGGAGGGTCCCTCTGAACATCAGGAAACACTTTTTTACTCTGAGGGTGACCGAGCACTGGCAGAGGTTACCCAGCGAGGCGGTGGAGTCTCCATCCTTGGAGATATTCAGAATCCACCTGGACACAGTCCTGGGCAACTGGCTCTGGGTGGCACCTGCTTGAGCAGAGGGGTTGGACCAGATGGACCCAGAGGTCCCTGCCAGGCTCAACCGGTCTGTGACTCTGTGGTGTCAAAATTGTAACTAAATCAAAACCTGTCTGCAAAATTCTTGATCCTAATGTATTTTTATATACTTTTTCTGTGCTCTTAAAACACATTTACCACACATCTCATCTCATTTAACTTTCCTTTATCGTTTTTGTGTTTTTCTACTTTTATTTGGAACTAAATGTTATGAGTCACTTGTAATAATTTCACTGCTGTAATAGTCAAATCTGTGAAACAGAATAAAAGTCTTGTAAAATAAAAACCATGTTTGGGTTGATCCTCTTTAAAGCCCTCTGTCAAAGACCTGCATCATGCTCGGAATAACTAGGTGACAATACTGGTTGATTTGAAGAATATTTCACAATAGATGTTGATTCCCAGAGTAATCTAGCCAGTGCATGGACAGCAATTCCCATCTGCACCAGCTCTCTTAAATTGCTTGTTTACCATCTGATAGGGGTTAGCAGGAGTTCTTCTAAATGCGGTATTTTTCTAGCAAAAAATAAATAATCCCCAGCCAAGTTTGCTCTTCTGTATACATTGTTTCTGGAAGGAAGTAACAGAAGGAAAAAAAAAAAAAAAAGAGAAAGCCAGATTCTTCTCCGTGCCCAGCTACTGAACTGGCAGTTTAGCCTGCGTGTCCTCTGTGAGGTGAAGCAGGATGACTGTGCAGGGGTGATCTCACACTGCTCCCCTTCTGACCCTGGCAGTCCCGAGTACCTGTGGAACAGTTCTTGGGACAAGGGCTGGATCTGGGATCCTTTCTCCCACAGCCTTTCCTCTGGTCACTGCAAAGCTGCATGGCCCTTGGTGATGGAACATTTTTGTTCATTCTTGTGACATCCTCTGGATAATTGGTTCATTCAGCAGCTTGGGAAGATAAAGTTCCTTAGAGCAAGTCGTGAAAACAAAACCTGTGTTTCTAACTTCATGCCTGTGTAATTCCCCAAGAGAAATAAGGTTGTCAGATGGGGACTTAGCATTATCCCAGGGATGAAGATACTGGCTGGTGAGCTTTGCCTAGAGGAATGGTTATTGGTAAACAAACATCTTGGGAGTGAGTTATGTTATCCGAGATTTGGATACCGGGAAGCTGGTTTAGCTTAGAGGATTTTTATAATGGATTAAGGGAATTCCATAAATAAAAATGTCCTACTCTTGGAGTAACACTTCACCCGGCAAAATTTAAAACCCCCCCCCAAATAAACAGTATGGTTCTAGTTTCCTTTAGAAAATAGATCCTTGGTGTTACATTAAAACTCTGCTCTTGTTTTCTCTTCCACACAAGTGAGCAAGAACGGTATTTGTAGTCACATACACTTCTAGAGCAGAGCTGCTGCCTTCCTGCAGTTCGGTGGCTGCATCACAAACAGGGAGGGTTTTTTGGTGCCCAGCATGCCTGACGCCGTAAAGCTTATTGGTAAGTTTGCTCACCAAGACACTCGTATGCAGCTCGGCACCAGTCACAATGAAAGCTTTTTGTTTCAAACAACCATGCCTGAAAATTTCCCCTCTCACAGACCACAATTCTGCAAATACTTCTGCCTGTGCTCACAGATTTAAATCCCTGAGGCCAGTGGATTAATCACAGGCATCAAGTTAAGCATGCATATCCTTAGCAGGAGTAAAGATTTATTCCAAGGATCAGCTTTGTTCCAAGGCCTGGCCCAGATCCACCACCGGGATTTTTCTGTCCTACGGCGATGCAGGTAACAGAAATGTTTGCTCTTGAAATGCTCCTGCTCTTTCTTGCTCCTCTGCGCACCTCAGGCCTTGGCTGGATGCTCTTGCTCAGGCAGAGCCCTCAACTCGGGGAGCCCTGCGTGTGGAAGCAGGTTCTGAGGTTTCACCTCTCTAATCTTCCACACACACCCCCCGTTATACTTCCTGCTCGGTGGGAATGGCAGGACTTCTATTGTTCCCCACGGGAACCCCTTTGTTTTCACACTTTGATAAGATACATAACGGGGTGTTGCCTTGAGCCAGAGGTTTGGTTTAAATGTCTAATGGCAAGGATCTGGGAAGACGTGTGTCTTTGGGCCGCTTTCCTGCCTTTCAGTCTCAGGCATGTGGGACACCAGTGGGAATTCTGTGGTTGATTTATGGTGGGTTTTTTTTTTCTCCTTTTGAGTCACCTTACCAGGAAATGTGATCAGCCTAAGTTATTTCCCATCTCCTCTGTTACATCCACATTCAGAAGCCAGGATTATCATGTTAATTTTCACTGTCAGAACATGTGGCCCTATTTTATGTCAGGAGGAATTTCCTGTAAATTAAGTTCTGATAAAAGAAAGTTGCATTAGTGGTAGAGATGAAAACTAATAACTATTGCTTGTAGAACAGGCCGGCTGTTGTTGCCTGGCCATACAAATAGATAAGACAAAACTATCCCGAAAATAAATGCATCTTTTTGTAACCCACACTTCATTTTTACGGCGTTATTAAATTCCCTTGGAAGGCTTTCAGCAGAATTGGTTATTGAATTCAAAAGCCTGGCAGTCGTAGTATTTTTCCACATACATTTTGATCTGATCTATTTATCTGATTGTTTCAGATGTGATGCATTGAGCGCTGGCTCCCAGTGCTGCCAGTTTCAAAGTTTCAGCAGTTACTTCTGATCACGTTTGGGTCTTTGGCTTCGTTCCCTGTGGAGCCTCAAACAGGTACCATGCTGTAACTAGGAATCCTTTCAAAAAAACGCCCCTGCATGGTAAAGGCTTTTGTTTAGTGAGAGCTGAGTGTCAGAACTGGAAGTGACCCCCCCCCCCCCCC